GCCCCCCTTCCCCCCCCCCCCCCCCGAGAGCACCAGCTGGGGACTGGAAACACTATGGCCGCTTCTGGGAGCACCACAGCTGCTTTGCAGTTGGCTGCAGGGGAAACCCAGCCCCTGGTTAGCAAGATTGGCCATAGGAGGACACACCCTCAGTCACTGACTGGTCACTGGGTGGGGGGGGGGAGCATTTGCCCCCCCGACTAAGGTGGCAGCAGTTGCCCATGCTTCCGCAGATCAGTACCTGGCTATACAGGTGGTGTGGCCAGCAGGGCTTTGGCTTTGACCATGAGATGTAGTTCCAAGAAGAAGGATTGCTGGGAAGAGATGGGATCTACCTAATGAAGAGAGGGAAGAGCATCTTTGCAAGCAGGCTCACTAACCTAGTGAGGAGGGCTTTAAAGTAGGTTCTCCAGGGGATGGAGACCAAAGCCCTGACATAAGTGTGGAAGCAGGAGACCTGGAAGAAGAGCAAGCAGGAGGGGTCAACAGGGAAGGTGTTTTCATACTTCCTGAGAAATCAGGGCAACAGAATAGTTACCTTAGGTGCCTGTATACCAATACACAGAGCAAGGGAAACAAGCAGGAAGAATTGGAAGTCCTCGCACAGTCATGGCACTATGACGTGATTGGAATAACAGACTTGGTGGGATAGCTCACATGACTGAAGCACTGTCATGGATGGGTACAAACTGTTCAGGAAGGACAGGCAGGGGAGAAGAGGAGGAGGACTTGCACTTTATGTAAAAGAGCCATATGATTGGTCAGAGCTCCAGTATGAAACTGAAAATAGGCCTGTTGAAAGTCAGTGGATTAAAGTTAGAGGGGAGAGCAACAAGGGTGATGTTGTAGTGGATGGTGTGTGCTGTAGACAACCAGGCCGTAAGGAAGCAGTGGATGAGCTTCCTTCAAACAATTAGTGGAAGTTTCCAGATCACAGGCGCTGGTTCTCATGAGGGACTTCAATCACCCTGACATCTGCTGGGAGGGCAATACAGCAGTGCGCAGGCAATCCAGGAAGTTTTTGGAGAGTGTTGGGAACAACTTCCTGGTGCAAGTGCTGAAGCAGCCAACTAGGGACCGTGCTCTTCTTGACCTGCTGCTCACAAACAGGAAAAAATTGGTACTAGTAGTTGGCAACTTGAGCAGCGGTTACCACAAGATGATTGAGTTCAGGATCCTGAGGAAAGGAAGGATGGAAAGCAGCTGAGTAAAGACCCTGAACTTCAGAAAAGCAGACTTTGATTTCCTCAGGGAACTCATGGGCAGGATCTCCCTGGGAAATCAGAATGAATGGGAGAGAAGTCCAGGAGAGCTGGCTGTATTTCAAAGAAGCCTTACTGAGAGTGCAGGAACAAACCATACTGATGTGCAGGAAGACTCTCAAGTATGGCAGAAGAGCAGCTTGGCTTAGCAGGGAACTCTGCAGTAAATTAAATCACAAAAAAGGAAGTTTATAAGGAGCGGAAACTTGGACAAATAAATAGGGAGGAGGATAAGACCATTGCTTGCGCATGCAGGGATGAAGTCAGGAAAGCCAAAGCACAATTGGAGTTGCGGCTAGCAAGGGACATGAAGGGTAACAAGAAGGGTTTCTACAGGTATGTCGGTAGCAAGGGGAGGATCAGGGAAATTGTGGGTCCCTTACTGAATGGGGAAGGCAACCTTGTGACAGAGGATGCATAAAGGGCTGAAGTGCTCAATGCCTTTTTCACCTCAGTCTTCACAGGCAGGTCAGCTCCCAGACTACTGCACCTGGCAGAACAGTTTGGGAAAGAGGTGAGCCAACAGTGGTGAAAGAACAGGTTAGGGACTGTTTAAAAAAGCTGGACATATACAATAGGGGTGTGCAAAACAGACAGTATTTGATTCGGATTCGGTCCAAATTGGGGACAGTGATTCGATTTGTTGATTCAGATCACTGTCCCTGATTCAATTCAGCTGAATTTGAATCTGAAGATTTGATGCTGATTTGAAGAATCAGCAATTTGGCCATAGACATAGCTTTAAATGTTTTTTCTACATACCTCAAGGTACCAGTTACGGCTTGTGAATGCTATGACGCTGGGGCGGATGGAGTGTCATACAGGAGTGTGTGTGGAGTGGGGGTGCCCATATGCTCAGCAGTGAACCTGGAAATGGACCACAACTACTTCCGGTCCACTTCCAGGTCTGCCGGGGAGTGTGTGAGGGCCCCCCGCACCCCAAAGCTCAGTAATCGACCACAGGTGGACCCCAGGTGCCCCCCCAGACTGAGGAGGCACCAGCCACCAAGCTGGCAAAGCCCGGAGAGGGGGGCCCTCACGCATTCCTCGGCAGACCTGGAAGTGGACCAGAAGTGCTTCTGGTCCACTTCTGGGTCTGCTGCCAAGCATGCTGGGGAGCCCCCCATGCTCCTCTGGGACACTCCATCTGCCCCAGCATCTCAGCATTCATGAGCCGCCTGCTACCTTGAGGTATGTAGAATAAACATTTCAAGCTGTGTCTGTCTGAATCGCCAATCTTTCCAAATCTCTAAATCGATTCAGAGGGTTCTGATTCGATTCAGAGAGATTAAAGGGTCTCCTGATTCGGATTCAGAGATTTGTCTGCTGAATCAGGCCAAATCTCCGCCAAATCAAATCAGGGACTGAAGCTTCGCACAGCCCTAATATACTATTCTATGAGGCAGGATGGGATGCACCTATGGATTCTGAGGGAGTTGGCTAATGAGATTGCAGAGCCACTGACCATCATCTTTGAAAACTCATGGTGATCAGGGGAGGTCCTGGATGACTGGAAAAGGGCAAACATAGTGCCCATATTTAAGAAAGGGAAAGAAGAGGATCCAGATAACTACAGAGCAGTCAGCCCCACCTCAGTCCCTGGAAAAATCATGGAGCAGATCCACAAAGAATCTATTTCTAAACACTTGGAGGAGAAGAAAGTGATTAGGAACAGTCAGCATGGATTCACCAAGAACCTGATTGCCTTCTGTGATGAGTTGACTGGCTCTGGGGATGTTGGGAAACCAGTGCATGTGGTGTACCTTAATTTTAGCAATGTTTTTGATATGGTCACTCACAACATTCTTGCAGGCAAGCTAAGAAAGTACAGCTAAGATGAATGAACTGTAAAGGTGGATAAAAAAATGGCTGGAGCATCAGGCTTAGAAGTTAATAATTGCTCGATGTCAAGTGGAGTATCCCAAGGGTCCCGGTTTTGTTCAATGTCTTCATCAATGACCTGGAAGATGGCATACAGTGCGCCTTCAGCAAGTTTGCAGATGGTACCAAGCTGTGGGGAGTAGTAAATACACTGGAGGGTAGGGCTAGGATTCAGTGTGACGTAGACAAATTGGAGGATTGGGCCAAAAGAAATCTCATGAGGATCAACAGGGACAAGTGCGAAGTCCTGCACTTAGGATGGAACAGGCCCACACATCAGTATAGGCTGAGGCCTGACTGGCTG